GAGAGAGAGAGAGAGAGAGAGAGAGAGAGAGAGAGGCCTTAGGCAAGTAAAGCTCCTATCACCACATTCAATGGACACAGGATGGCCCGAATGTCACACATGGCACAGACAGGGGAGATTACCCCTGTGTGTTAGAGAGAAACCCCAGCAGGGTCACACGGCAACAGCTGATACTGACTCTGCTTCCACTGGAACATAACATTATTATACAGACAAGAAGAAACAAAAATGTCATCATGAAAAAAAAAAAAAGAGTGAGAACAAGACAAAAAAATAGACTTACACAAAAGAAAATAATGTATCTCTGAAAAAAGTTTCATTAAAAGTTTTACAGCACTTGCAACACAAATAGGTCATGTAAGTGCCGAAGATTAGATGAGCCACTGGAGAATAATATTTTTTAAAAAAAGGAGATGAGATACGGACAATTGATGTTGATAGAAAAGAACGGCCAAACCACACCAGAGCACCCATTAAACAAATATAAAGAAAAATTATATCACAATGACACATGAAAAAGAACAATAAGGCCAAATACCTTAAACAATTTCACATATTAGACTATCTCTACACATCCCTGCAACCGAGTGTTATTTCCAGTCTTGCTATTATGCAAATCATCTGCCTGAAAACTATTTTCATTAACATTGCGTGACATCCTTTGGGAACCTATATTCACTAATCATTCAGCCACCTGGCCCTTCTTTCATAGTACTGTAATTGTGAGCACAAACAGGTCCAGGCAGCCCGCCTCCTAAATGATGGGCACTGCGTTGCTAGGGGCGTGAAAAATGAATAATTACTGATGTACCAGTACGTCAAGTCTGTCATTTATGAACTAATGCTAAAGACTGAGCCCATCTTGCATAGAAGCTCAGTATGTCTTGTAAAATGCCAAAAAGCCTGCCTAAATGTTTGGCAATTCAAAAAGCCACTGACAAAGACAACAAAAACTAACAAAAATTTAATGTTAACTGCACCCCCAAAAGAAAGAAAGGAAAAAAAAAGCTGCTCACTTGATTTATGAAGAACACTAGCAAAATGCCACTAGATTTTTGAAGAAAACCGCAAAATGTTAAACCCCACTCTTTCTATGATCACCCTGAAGATAGTTAATTTCGGAGACAAAAGAATAGAGAATATTATATTTTGTTGGAGTTGCAAACAATCCATGAAACAAAATCACCTCTTAATACCACAGGAACACAGAAATGTTTAAATCTCACTGAGTTCATAACTTCGTGTTGCAGGACTAATCGTTTGTTATTCAGTCACTGTATACAGTCCATGCCGGCTTTAAGCACGGTCATCGGGAGAAAGCATAAGCGTGCTTAAATCTGAAGCGTGCTTGAGTGCGAAGTAGGCATAATCCAGAGATTTTCAGATAGAAAATTTCCCGTGCTATTTCCCTTTGTTTGTAAGTAGGCCTATAGCGGTCCCGCAAAAGTGCGCACTGTTATTTTTACCCGCCATAGTAGTTTTTGTTTGCTTGTTTGTTTTTGTTTTGTGGTCGAATGGGAAATGAAAACTTAATTTAAATGGCCAGTCACGATACAGCACACTAGGCCTACACGCTGCCTGTGCATACCACTGCCTGCTGTGCCACATTCATACCACCACCTTCATCCCACCTCGCGCGTGATACACAATCAGGATTAATGGATAGCGAGGGTCAAAGGTGAAATCGCAGCCAGCCGCCCTTTATCGTGTCCCCGACTCTCTTTCAACTCTTTGTATTTTTTAGTCTGTGTGTAGCTTTGCCCTAGGCTAGATCCTATGTCCACGCGCGCGGCTGTGTGCATCTTTCTGCCTTCCTCTCCACCGGTGCGAGTGTGTGTCTCCATCACTTGTGTTCTTTGTGTTTCTCTTAACACACTCCACTGCTGCGGTGTAGACTGTGTTCGAACTTCGATGGGTCATCATAAAAGTATTGACTGTCTCGTAATGAAGCGTGCCTGAAGCTGAAGTTACTGTGCTTAAAGGCGTGTAATTTATATAGCAAAAATTTGGTAAGCGCTGTTTAGCATGCTTAAGTCCGAAACGTGCTTTAAGCCGGCGTGCTTATAGCCGGCACGGACTGTACTAAAGTTGAAAGAATCTAGGAAAAAAAAATGTCATCCACCGAGGACAGTTCAATGTTATTGGTGCAATTCAAATAAACGCTCTATACTGGTATAAATATTTCTACCAAAGAGATAGGAATTCTGATCCCCCCCCCCCCCCCCCCCCCCCCCCGCCATCATAGACCACACGCAACACCAGTAAACATGGGACAAAGTCTTACCACTCCATGGCTTCATCCAGGCCATCTCCTTTGATGGCTGATGTCTTGAAAATCTGGTACTTTCTGTTCTTCAGAGCCGGCAAGCCCAGGGCGTTGGCAACCTCAGTGACTGTCATGGCTCCCTCGATGTCCTGCTTGTTAGCAAACACGACCAGCACAGCTTTCTTCAGCTCATCCTCCTGGAAATATCCGATGGAGGATTTTATGTTCAAAGTTCTGAAAGTATTGAGTGGGTATCTAATATTTGTACAATAACACCTCTACAATCTAGTTTCAGGGCACAACTTGGCAATGGAAGGAATATTTTAAACAGCAAATCCTTTCTTGGTATCACAAGCTGTATTCCATATTTCAAAATTAATAAAACAAATACAAAGAATATAATCTAAAAAGTTTTCGTGAAAGAATCCTCCTAATGCCTGTAGAAACACTCCCCTTGACAAGGACTGACCCCCCCCCCCCAAAAAAGAGTTAAAACAACTAAAGTCTCAATGGAAATAAAGATATTATTTCATGTAAGAAATACTTCTACCCTAAAAAGTAGAAAAGTTCATGATCACTCCTGAACAGAGCTGAGGGTCATGATTGGAACAGTGACAGTGGAGAAAAGAGTGGAGTGGGGTCTGGGAAGGGAAAAAGGGACTAGATTAACTCCCATTTCCACTCTACAATATCACACTCAGCAGACTACGTGGAACATCTCCACAGCAGTGACACTCTTGACTTACCTCCAGCATGGAGACCAGCTCCTGTTTGCTGATGCCGATGCGGTCACGGTCCATGCTGTCCACCACGTAGATGATGGCATCAGTGTTGGAGTAGTAGCAGCGCCAGTATGGCCTTTGGAGAAACAAACATACAAGCGAGTTATAGGGCCAAGTAGTTAGGTATTTGTGGGTATAGTATGTAAGTGAGACCACTGCTCTTTTGTAAGTTTATACTCACGTTTACCACCCTCTTTACTTATCATTTACTTTTGATAAAAACACTTGCATGGGTAGAGGCTTTAAGATCAATGCAATAAGGGTTTGTGACACTCATTATTCACTTTAATCCAGACAGGTATCCTACTGCTGTTTTGGAATGGTTTCAATGGGATACCCCAAATAACTTTCATTCCTCAAGCAAAACCCTATGTTAATATTCAGAGACAACAGTTTTCATTAAAGAAATCAGAATCGCATGTGAAATGCTAACATAAATGGTTGGCCTGGTATCTGTAATGGGTCTAAAGTAAGAGAATAGGAAGCAGAAAAAGTAATTTGACAAAGCTACAAACAACAACATATGTCAGATGAGAGAAACAATGTCTAAGTCCGTCATGAAGCACACCATCCTGGCACTCACCTGATGCTAGTCTGCCCACCGAGATCCCACACTTGGAACTTCAGATTCTTGTAGGTGACTGTCTCCACGTTGAATCCAATGGCTGAAAAAGTGTAAACGCACATTCTTTGAGAAGCTGGTATCATTTGGTTCAAACAAAAGAAGCTTGAAAGGAAAAGCACACAGAAAAAACAACCTTAATTGTCCAATAGACTTTCAGCTGTTGAGCCGCATGGTTTGACAGAGATGCAGTGCCATCAGTCTCTTCTTCAACTCCTTTTTACAGCTAGTATTATCCTTAAGACAGAGTTCCCAAAGAAATCATTCCATCAAAACAGCAACTGACTAAAAATATAACTAAAAATTTTTCAACAATATAACTCAGATGTAAGCAAAGGGCATAAGAAAATGTTTTGACTCTAAGACACATATAAATGACCTGTTCATTTTACAAAGTAATCTTGAGACTATATCAACTTTCAAATCCGTAAAATTTTAAGACTCTCCTTTCATACCAAATAGGTGCACTAGTGCAAAAGGAGGGAAGGGAAGCCTATCACTGTGCTCTTCCTCCCCAGCATTTCATGGCAACTATTCACCTAGAAATCAAGAGAATTTTACAGAAGTCTCTGCCTAAGATCCTGGTGCATGGGAGAAAGGAATATGCAGGACAGCGTAGGATATGTCATTAGGATTTTAGCCAAATCATCATGGGGAAGAATCCATGGTGACTCACGGTCAGGCCCACAATAGGTAAAGGTCTCCCCTTGCTCTAAAATGTACTGACGTGACTCCGGGGCATTGATTGAGTTCCCAGCTCATGTCATAATGTATCATTATGTTGTGACTGCACCAATTAAAATTCGAAGAAAAAAAGGTATGTCCACTGCAAAAGGCTATCAGAGGGTCCCCAAGTATGTGCGCTGGTCTGTCTACCAAATTCCGGTAGAGAGCTGAAAGGCAAGTGCGATGGTCAGGGCAACAAAAGTACTGACGAGTTCACAGTTCGATGTGGTCCCATCTGATGTCGCCTAGAAGGCTCTATTCACCCAGATCAATTGAGGTGGAAAAGTTAAATACAAGTATAATGTTTGGAGAAAATAAACACATAGAGAACTTCACACCTCAGTGTTATCCCATCTAGGGCGAAAGTTGTAGCCCCTCTGAAATTTACAAAAGACATCTGATCCCATTTAATAGAGTGGATGGTCTCTGACATGATGGGCAGTACAATGAAAGTCAACTTTTACTGTTTGGTTGATCAGCTGTGCATGCTCAGGTTTTTGGTTCAGTAAATTATGATCTGAAATGCAGGATCTTATCCAAACATAAATCCTTCAGAGCTGGATCTTACGAATAAATTTCAAGTTGTAAAAAGTTAAAAAACAAACAAAACCAGCTGTTGGTTCAGTGAACAAGGATCATACATTTTTGGAACTCAGTCAAACTTATGATGTTCATCCTTCAGACATCAATATGTTACGCACTTGACAATATCTGTATTTTCAAGATAAAATCCACAGAGTAGGCTGTGCTGTTTCCAGTGAATACGAGAAACAACTCTAGAGCTCAATTAATTTTTAAAAAAAATTTCAGTGTCAGTGTACACAAATTAAAAAAACCCACTTTTGACATTCTTTTACAGCCACACTTATGACTGTCATACACATCTCTTTAGTTCTGTGCATAGGATTTGTTTTAGAGAAGTTTTCTCTGCAACAATTTTGGACTCTTACTTGGGATTGTGGTGACAACTTCCCCAACCTGGAGTCGGTACAGAATAGTTGTCTTTCCTGCTCCATCCAGACCAAGGATGAGAATACGTCGCTCCTTGCTCCCAAAAAGACCAGAAAAGTAGCTCATAAGACCCCCTGTGAACAGCAAAATATTGAGGTTAAAGTTTTAGTACTGCAACAAATCAGGATTAACATATTTTAGATCCGAGATAAAAATTATAGAAAAGTCACATCCCCTCCCTCCCCCACCCCCCAAAAAAGAAAAAAACGCTGTTCATAAAGTAAAAGTATAAGCATACTCAGAGCTTGGAATGCAATGTGCACTGGCCTGACTTAAAGAACATATTTGATTTGTTGATAGAGTAGGCTAATACTAGAAATGTTGTCTGTTGGCTTAAAAAAAATTCTAGCTCACTTAAATTTATCTATGCCCTCGCAACTTTGCATGGCATTTCTGCAGGCTGATAAAAAAAGTTTCTCTATTTGGGCCCTATATTAACCCCTTGACTGCTAACTGTATTTGCACTCCACATGCTAAGGAAATTTCTATTGTACGCAAGACATCACAGGTCACAGTTTTAAATATGTTAGTTGTTCACTTATTATAAGAGACAGACAGGTAAAATTAATTTCAATAGAAAGATAAATGGTGTGATGAATTCATTCATCTATTGACAAGAGCTGCATAGAACAAGCTATAACTATAACCAAGTGAACAACTCGAAAGTGTAAGACTGAACAAGCCCTCCCATTATACGCGTTGACTCGGTCTCCCATGATGTGTGTGAGAAAGACAGTACACCTAAGCTCGGGCTACCCGTCAAACTATATACCAATAATCAGAAAGAGAAATGAAGAGATGAATTAATCATTAGACAAAACTGCGGTAAAACTAGTCACAACAATGTAAACCAAGTATAAAGTACTGCAACTGTTCAAGCATTGCGAGTTGACATGTCAGCTCAGACACAATGTGTGTAAAAAAAAACCCAAGACACCTCGCTTTGTTTTCAGTAATAGAACCCGCACTTCTCATATATATACAGATATGACCTTTTAGCTGAAACAATTTGCGTTCAAGGGATGTCACTCTCTTTATTCAAAACTTCATTGAAGCTGAAATATCTAGCAATTTCAATGAAAAATTAAATTTTGTCCAAAGTGCTTTAATCAAGCCTAAATGAAAGAGGAGTAATTTTTTAATAAATTTTAAAAATCTATGAACATTTAAAAAGTTATTGGGATTTTTTATGGCAAAATTTTGGGGGACTTTTTTATATAGGAAACTATCGCCAAAAAATTGGACATTTCTTGATGTACCGGTACTTTGAGGGAAAACTGTCTATAAGTCAGTAATGAATTGGAGTAGGCCTATATGAATGAAGCTCTCTATACTTAGAAGAGAGCCACCTCTGATCCCAAACGACCCAAAAATTACCCCTCGCGCGGAGCCCAATTTCTGGCCCAAAGCGTAGTAGGTGACTGGCATTGCTAATATCATCAAAACAAGACATGGGTTTAATCCGCCCTACAAGATATATTTACACAACACTAGGCGGCATATTACAGAGATGTGCGTATGTGATTGTGATACGTTTACAGTGGAGTCAAGGGGTAAAAAACTGCTCTTTGAGTGCATATACAGGAATACAAACAGGAATGATTATACACCAAATTAACCTAGCCTATAAATAACTTATTTTAAGATAGTGACACAATCCTGCCCCTACATTTCAGTGTAAACTTGTCAATTTCACCCTATGACTCGAGGACTGTCTAGACATTTCCACAGGAGTCTTGAAAACATGGGTCTCAACCCAGAATTTTCAAAAAGGAGGAACTTTCTATGTGATTGTGACAGATGACCATTTTCGTGAGACATGCATTATTACACTGTTTCACCCTAGAAAGCTGAGATAAAAACCATCAATATATTAAAGCAAGGTTATTTCATACCAATTTGAGGGTCTAGAAGAAAATTTCAAGTAAAAGTCACTGAAGTGAACACATATTATTTACAATCTTGATTTTATGTACAGAAAGTATTCACGCATTACTGGGAGGAGCCCCTCCCAGCAGCGGAGTTTTGCGGAGGAAACTAAATAGTGGTAGTGGAATTCCGCTAGGCTAAATAGCGGAACTTTGAGATCCACATGAAAATTAGTACTCATCCGTCTGTTGGACAATATTTCTTAGCGAACGTAATGCGAAGCGTTGAGAACAATATGTCTACTTTCTTATGTATAACAGTGAATGCACCTGCTGCACTATATCATAACAGAACCAAATTTGCAGTCTATATTTGTTAAAATTTGGTAACCAAAGATGTGAAGGGTCACGTTTGGCACGAAAGAGAAGGAGGACCATTGATTGCTAATGAATTCTCTTCTTGCGTCAGTAACTTCTTGGAGGAGCCTACTCACAATGCCACGTTCATTATATATACAGTGATGGCTGTATTTACCAGACCACAACGGTATCTTGTCAAAGGCAAACAGCGACATTAGTACCAGATAGAACAAAACTATTGAACACAAATACCTTGACAAAGAACAAGAAACGCAAATGGAAGTGGACTGACCACACAGTGTAATCGAAAAGTCCCTGAAGAATGGTATGGTCTATGTGCTCATGGATAATCTTGAACGTTTTTAAGAAAGCAAGACAATATCCCCCCC